AAGGGTGTCGAATAATGAAGAGGCAGGAAGGTATCGAATATTGACTAGACATTGTGAGTATCGAACATGGGCTCGGCTTTGATGGTATCGAATAATTAATAGGGGGTTAGGTATCGAATAATGAAAAAGCAGGGAGGTATCGAATATTGGCCAGGCATTGTGGGTATCGAATATTGAAGAGGCAGGTAGGTATCGAATATGGGCTAGGCTATGCAGGTATCGAATAATGACTAGGGGGTTAGGTATCGAATAATGAAAAGGCAGGGAGGTATCGAATATTGGCCAGACATTGTGGGTATCGAATATTGAAGAGGCAGGGAGGTATCGAATATGGGCTAGGCTTTGCAGGTATCGAATAATGACTAGGGGGTTAGGTATCGAATAATGAAAAGGCAGGGAGGTATCGAACATTGGCCAGACATTGTGGGTATCGAATATGGGCTAGGCTTTGAAGGTATCGAATAATTACTAGGGGGTTAGGTATCGAATAATGAAAAAGCAGGGAGGTATTGAATATTGGCCAGGCATCGTGGGTATCGATTATTGGCCTGGCATTGTGGGTATTGAATATCAGCTAGGCATTGTTGGTATCGAATATTGGCCAGGCATTGTGTCGCAGTATTGAATATTGACTAGGGGTAAGGGTATCGAATATTGAAGAGGCAGAGACGTATCAAATAATGGTCAGACACTGGGGGGTTTTGATTATTGTCCAGGCATTGCGGGTATCGAATAATGACTAGGGGTTAGGGGTAGGGGTGTTGAATAATGAAGAGGCAGGGAGGTATCGAATATTGGCTAGACATTGTGAGTATCGAACTTGGGCTCGGCATTGCAGGTATCGAATAATGACTAGGGGTTAGGGGTATCGAATATTGAAGAGGCAGGGTGGTATCGAATATGTGCTAGGCTTTGCAGGTATCGAATAATGACTAGGGGGTTAGGTATCGAATAATGAAAAAGCAGGGAGGTATCGAATATTGGCCAGGCATTGTGGGTATCGACTATGGGTTAGCCGTTGCAGGTATCGAATATTGACTAGGGGTAAGGGTATCGAATTTTGAAGAGGCAGAGAGGTATCACATGATGGTCAGACACTGGGGGTTTCGAATATTGTCCAGGCATTACGGGTATCGAATAATGACTAGGTGATAGGGGTGTCGAATAATGAAGAGGCAGGGAGATATCGAAAATTGACCAGACATTGGGGGATATCGAATATTGTCCAGGCAAAGATTAACAAATAATCATTTTTTGTCCTTCCTGTGAAATTTGCCTTTCTGCATGTAGCCAGTTTGTGAATAACACCGACGACTTGCTTTCAATACATGTACTCTTTTTTTTCTTCTTTACTTCTTTGCTGTATCGCTTTCCTTAAAAATACTTTTAAAGCATATATCTATCTATCTATCTATCGATCTATCAAGATTACTTT